GTCAATCACCCCCCAATCCCCGCCCCCTTGATAAATACCTCCCTCCCTCGAGGTGAAGTCGGAGCGAAAAAGCGTGCGCCGCACAAGAGAGGGCTGGCCACGCGGGGGCACGCCGCGCCGCCTGCCGCTGCGGCGGGCGCCCGATGCGCCGACGTGGCCTGTTCTTTCTTATGTTTTGTGTATGTTTTTAATGTTTGAATTTTTGTTGTCCAAAGTTTTGAGTTTGTTTTGATTTTCGAGTATGTTTTAATATTTGTTTTGACTATTGTTTGAATAATTGTTTGAACATTTGCTTTGAGCATTTTCGTCCCAAGTTCCCCAGTAGGAGGACACGCCCGCCCTAAGCCTGCCCGCCCCGACGGCTGGCCCGCGCCGGCACGCAGCGCTTCCGCCGATCTCTGCGGCGCTCGGCGCCCCGCCACCCCCACGCTTGCAAGGCCCCCCCACCCCCCCCCTCGTCCCCCCTCCTCCTCCTCCTCCTCCTCCTCCGCCTCCTCCTCCTCCTCCTCCTCCTTCCTCTCCTCCTCCTCCTCCTCCTCCTCCTCCTCCTCCTCCTCCTCCTCCTCCTCCTCCTCCTCCCCACGTTGGCAAGGCTCGAGCGTGGGCGGCACAGCCTCTCGGCGGCGGCCAAGAGGGGGGTGATGACTAGGGGGGGATACCATGGCGTGGGCCACGATACTCGGTATCGTTTAAGCGATACCCATCCCCATCCCCATCCCCATTCGAGACCCCCTATCATATTGCCACCCCAGTTGGGGATACACCCCTCGAAACCCGAAGGGAACGGGCTGTATCCCCATCTAGGAAGGTAAATCGGCCAGTGGGGCCCAGGCCACGCCGCTGGGGATGGGGATCGGTTAAACTATACTTCCTCAGACTTCATGGCTCTTATCTCATTACGCTCATGGCCCACCCCTGGGCCGCACACATGCCGCCAGCCATGATTTGCGCCCCCCCCCTCTTGGACGCCCCCTCTTGGCCGCCCCCCAGCCTCGGGCCTGCCCGCAAGGGCACGCTGGCGCCTCCGTGACCTGGGCGCGCCCACGGGGTTGACAGGGGCGGTGTTCAGAGGAGCAGGAGGTCATGATAACGACAGAATCCAAGATTTTCGGGATCCCCCAGATATCCAAATTGTCCACACGGGCTGCAGAGACGAGGGCCGCTAGATACCCCAGAATTCCTGGAGCGTATTCTGAGCCAATCGCATCGTGACACCATGCTCGTCATAAACAGCAGGTTTTCGGGCTGTTTCGTCAGTTCTCTGCGGCTTTCCAGCCTCGGGGTTCTCTCCAGCAGCTGCGCCTCGCCGAGAGCGTTCTGGGGCTGCTCTGATCGTCTCGAACGGCTGCTGAAGTGTCGAGTTATGGTCCCCAAGCCAGGTGGCAACGCTCGGAATATAAGCTCATTGGGGGCGCATCGACCACCCGTCGCCCATTCATCGCGCCGACGGGGGCCCGATAGTCCACCCTGGCCGACAGCGTGCCGATTCTCGATCGGGAACCTATCGCCAATATGTCGGCGACGTATCGCCGGTTCAAGCTCGATGGTTCCCCCCCCCGGAGCTGGTCCCTCCGTATCGTCGCCCCTCAATTGGGGCGAGGAGCCGCGCGAAGGAGGTCAACCACAGGTCCATCAAAGACCTCGAGGTACAACTCGGCGGAGTCTACGCTTGCGCGAAGAGCCGTGCCAGCGCTGAGAGAGGGGAGCGCTCACAGAGTCGTCGGCGCCCTCGCACTCACAAAGTCTTGCGCCGCGAGGTACAGGCCTGCGCGGCATCGGGCAAAGAAGTCACCAAGGGCGCTGCTGACAGCGTGGTCATCTGCGGCGGAATCCGCGAGAGTCGGGGACGGACCTGGCGACGAGCACAGCAAGGGTGGCGACGCGGCCCCTCTGACACGGCAAAGCCAGAGTCAGCGAAGGCGTCGGGGATTTCACGGCCGCGCGGCGGCGCTGACCGAGGAGAGAGGCAGCACTTGTGGTAATGTTGCAACGTTGCACAGCATTTCGAAGATGGCCCTCTGGGTGCTGTAACGCCCGAGACTGCAAGCGCATTTCAGAAATTGTGCGGGCCAGGTGGCGCAGACAGAAGCCGCCGTTCAGCATGCACGAGTGATGAGGATCCCAAAAGGCTACTGCAAAGGTTGGGCGCTTCACGGAGCGACGGAAGCAAATGCAGCGATCTATCCGTCGATGAGCCAAACCGCTTTGGCAAGATGCGCCTGCCTCCCCGAGAGAAACGACAGCCCCAGGACGTCTGCAAGCACATGTCCTCGATTATGCTCGATCTTCCCGCTCCTCAATCCTCCTCCTCCTCCTCCTCCTCCTCCTCCTCCTCCTCCTCCTCCTCCTCCTCCTCTATCTGGACCTCTATCTGGACCATCTGGAGGTCTACGCGCGGACCTCCGGAAGATGTCGGTGAGTCGTCGTCTCCTGTGTCCAGTGGTGACACACGCACACGCGCACACTGGTATTGAGATCACACTGGCGTCCAGAGAGCTCGAGGCCGAGATGGTTCCTCTCTGAACACAGTGTGCTCCGGAGTGTCGCCTCCTCTCAGGGGGAGCCCTTGCTCGGAAACTGGAGCATACACCTTACCAGTGGCGGGCGGTGTTCCAATCCCACGACTTCTTGGAGGGTCGGGGCCGACGTCGGGGTGGTGTGGTGTATAGTGTTCCCTTTTTTCCCCAGGAGAAACAACAAAAAAAGGATACAACAGGATGCCGTATACACCAGAATCCGCTTGCTCGTGCGAAGCTCAGTGCGGGACCGGAGAGAGCATCGGTGCACAAACTTCGGCTCCTTACTTTGCACGCTTCCGCACTCCTCGGTCCTCCCAGCGGAGCTGGGCCAGGTGCGGCGGCGCAGGGCCGCGAAGACGGCCCTCTGCCCTATGCTGAAGTCGGGCCTGTCCCTCTACAGGAGGGATATTCCAAAATAGTCCAACAATAGTCCAGGGACGATGTTTCGCATGCTTTCATTATGTTTGCACATGTTTGGGGTATTTCTTCTTTTGCGCTTCATGCGCAACCACGCAACCGACATGTTGAGGACATGCCCGACCTAACCCTATGCGCTTCACGCGGCCCAGGACATACACAGGTGACCCAAACTCCTCCCGGACCGGTCCACTATCGACGATGCTGAGGCGCTGCGCGATTCGGGAGTGATTCGGCATAATGAGGATGGTCGGGAGGGGCCCCGGGATGATGAGGAGGAGGAGGAGGAGAGCGAATCGAGCTACGTGCGAGGAGGAGGAGAGCGAAGAGGAGGAGGACTAATTAGGAGGAGGAGGTCAGGAGGAGGCGATGGTTTCCCATATTGTCGGCCGTTTGTCGGAATGCGTCGAAGGTTCTTGGGGACTCTCGCGGGGTCGTCGTCGTCATCGTCATTGTCGTCGTCGTCGTCGTCGTCGTCGTCGGGGGCCGTCGTCGTCGTCGTCGTCGTCGTCGTCGTCGTCGTCGTCGTCGTCGTCGTCGTCGGGGGCCGTGGTCGTCATCATCGTCGTCGTCGGTGTTGTCGTCGTCGTCGCCGTCGCCGTCGCCGTCGCCGTCGCCGTCGCCGTCGTCGTCGTCGTCGCAGCCGCCGTCGTTGTCGTCGTCGTTGTCGTTGTCGTCGCTGTCGTCGTCGTCGTCGTCGTCGTCGTTGCCACCGCCGCTGCCGCCGTCGTCGTCATTGGTGCCGTGATCGGCGCGATCGTTATCGTCGTCATCGTTTGAAAGGTTTCTGGGCGTTTCTGGGCGCTCTCGCCGCCACGGCTGCACTCAGCACGAAAATCACGGCAGGGTAGATCCTGTGAGGTTTTCCGGGGCCGATTTTGAGCGGATGTCGTCTTCGTCGGCGTCGTCGTCGTTCGAGGGTGCAGGGTCGAGAATCGAGGTCCTTGGGCGTCGTCTGGCCTCGGGAGGCACCCCAGTGGCCATGGATGGGCTCCCTTCGGAATTCTGGCCAGAACGCACCCCAGGACGGGTCTGGGGGTCAGTCGTCCTCGTATCCGCCGCTGCTGTCATCGTCGGCGCTGTCATCGTCGTCGGCGCCGCCGCAGCCGTCGCCATCGTCCTCGCTGTCAGTGGTTTTCGAGCGCTTCCAGAGCTTCCCGTCGTCAACGTCGTCGTGGTTGTCGTCACCATCGAAGGTGCCGTCGTCGTCGGCGTTGTCAGCGTCGCCGTCGTCGACGGCAGCAGCACCGTCGTCGTTGTCGAGGTTCGACGTTCGACGTTCGAGGGTCGGGATTTTGGTGCGCCCATGGTCATGTTATTACCCTCTGCAGGGGCCCTCAGGGGGATTCCAGAAACATCCAGGGACCTCCAGGGAGAGGGGCGAGTCGTCACCGTCGTCGTCGTCGAAGATCGCGCCCGCATCGTCGTTCCGCTGCTGCTTCTGCTGCTGGTGCTGATGGCGCTGCCGCCGCCGCCGCGACGAGACAAGCTCTGGGGCCTCGCGCGCTGTGGGGCTGGTTCTTCACGGCTCCTGGGCCCCAGGATGCTTCTCGGCGGTCGCGCCTCGTCGAGCTGCCGCCCCCTCCCCCCTCCAGGGGCACCTCAAACGTCCGGAGCCGGCGCGTCTGGCCTGCGACCTCACCGGCAGCGGAGCCAGGCCTCTGGCGCCAGGAAGCCATCCGCGTCGGCCCACGGAGCCCGCAGGGGGGCGAGCCGCAGCTCCTTCTCCTCCTCCTCCTCCTGCTCCTCCTCCTGCTCCTCCTCCTCCTCCTCCTCCTCCTGCTCCTGCTCCTTCTCCTCCCGCGAAGTCCACGCGGATGTTGGCGCAGAGAGCTCCAGGGTCTCCGCACGCTGGGTAGCTCAGGACGTTTGAGGTTTGGGGAAATCGTTCCAGAGACTTCCGCCGCGACCAAGCACTGCAGACTGATGCAGCGGCCGCTCTCGCTGCTGCGGCGCCCGTGACCGTCTGGGCTTAAGGCGCGGCTCAATTGCGCATACTTCTTGGATGCCAGCCAGATTTGTGCGCTCATCCGGCACTGCATCCCAGCTTCATTCGTTTCCAGGATGGCGGCATCTCCTCCTGCCGCATCGCCGCTGCTGCTTGCAGCGGGCTGCTGCAGCGTCTTGCTCAGCCTCGAGCGCCTGCACGCGGCCGCCCTGTCTCGGAATCGAGGCGCCGAGGTGACCTTCGGGGAGTCCCCAGCCTATCACTCACATGGACTCGACACCGCAGAAGACCAGTTCGCGAATCTCACTGCTGTCGATTTCGAGTCGATGATGGACCCCGAGAATGCCCAGCCTCTCGTGGAGCTGACAGAGGCGGAGTGCGGGGATACGCCCGAGGGAAGCTCGTGCTACCACGCCGTCATGTGGCTCCTGATGGGAGGCTTTGACCGACACCCCGACTGGTACCCCGGGTACTCGAGCGAGTCCAGTTTCCACGAGGTGCAGTCCATGCTGCACAGCATCGGCAAGGGTCACTGTACGGAGCCGTGCGAGTCCGCCGCCCAGAGGCAGCAAGCGCCGGGGGCGTCCACGAGCTCGCCTCCAGCCTCCCCGGGCTGCCACGACGCCGTCGAGGGCGAGTGGTGCTTCCAGTCCCTCTCGTGGCTGAAGGCGAGGGGCATCACGCTGCACCCTGCGCGGTACCCCAACCTGCACCCTGGGTCCACGACGGGCGAGATGCAGGCGGAGTTGCACCGCCTGGGCAAGTCGCAATGCAGGGAGCCCTGCACGTCATGGAGCCACGCCGCACAGGACGGGGAGAATAGCTCCGACCAGGGGAACGCCTCCGACCAAGACTTGGCGTCGGAGTCGCCAGCGGAGCCCCAGGAGGCACCCGTTGAGGCCTCGAACACGAGCGATGCGTGCGACGACGCCGAGCCGCTCAGCCAGTGCTACCTGGCAGTGAAGTACGCGATGTCGGAGGGCATCCGGACTGATGGGCCTGCCTTTCACCACCACCAACACAAGCTGGAGGGGGGAAGGAGGTGGAGGACGAGGAGGAGGAGGAGGAAAGGAGTACGCATGTTGGAGAGGGGAAGGAGGAGGAGGAGAAGGAGGAGGCGGAGGAGGAGGAAGAGGAGGAGGACCCCCTCCCCCTCCTACTTTGAGGGTGGTGGTGGCTGTGATGGTGGTGGAAGAGACGAGCCCACGGAGAGGACGTCGCCGGACGTTTTCCCGGGCCTCGCGCCCGGCGCCACCTTCCGGCAGGTCCAGGAGAGCTTCCACTCGCGGGGGCGCTACGCCTGCGCCAGGCCCTGCCCCTTGCCGGACACGAAGAAGCCCGTGGACCAGATGAGCGAAGAGGATCTGGTTGACCCAAAATCAGAGCCCCGAATCATCAGGGGTAACTCGGGTCAGGGATAACTCGGGTTCGTTTCTCGGGAATCCAAACCCGAGTTACCCCGGACGCGAGCTACCCCGGATAACTCGGGCGTCCAGAGCCCCGAATCATCAGGGATAACTCGGGTCAGGGCTAACTCGGGTTCCTTTTCCGGGAATCCAAACCCGAGTTACCCCGGACCCGAGTTACCCCGGATAATTCGGGCGCCCAACAAAAGGAGGTGCTCAGGGGCAATGGTAGGGGGCGTTAGGCACAGGGGGGCTGCATCGACCCCCCGTCGCCCATTGATCGCCGATGGGGCCCGAGAGCCCCGTCTGCCCAGGAGCGTACAGATTCACCATCGGGGACCTATCGCCGATCTATCGGTGAGGTATCGCCGACTCCAGGTCGATGTTTCCCCCCCCCCTATGCCCATCCCCCCCTATCGTGGCCCCTCAGGTCCAGCTACAAGGGGGTGGTGCAATAGACCTGGTGCAATAGATATTGTGAGTTGCGACAGATTTGGGGCGTGCAGTACGTTCCGGGGAGCAGATGTATTGCTGGATTTTAGCGTGCGATGCATTCTAGTTGCAACACAATGCAGTACAATTCTCTTGCGCAATGCATTTGCAATACAATTGCCCCAAACCTATTGCACACCCCCTTTCAGCTGGACCCCTGTTTGGGTCAACCAAAGAGGAGCTCGCCAGATATCTGAGCGGCGAGTGGGACGGTATGGTCAAGGCTGCAGCTGGCTCCCCTGACATCCGCCGGCGCGATTTTGGTCCCGGCCGCTGCCCCGAGGCAGTTTTTCGTCCCGGGTCCATTTCTGAGAGCCACGGTGCCCGATGACAGGTCCCTGAGACCGAAATGCAGGAAGAACACCCTGGACGAAAACATCGGATCGTCGGAGATCTGGCCAAGGCAGGGGAGGCCCCCGCGGTGGCTGCCGATGGTGCCGCCCAGGCCCGGGAGGCGGGGCAGAACGCAACGGTGGACGTGGCTGCAGATGGTGCCGCCCAGGCCCCGGAGGTGGGGCAGAACGCAACGGTGGACGTGGCTGCCGATGGTGCCGCCCAGGCCCCGGAGGTGGGGCAGAACGCAACGGTGGACGTGGCTGCCGATGGTGCCGCCCAGGCCCCCGAGGCGGGGCAGAACGGTGGACGTCAGCTGAACTCTGCGCGGGGAGAGGCCGCTCAGAGCCTGTCTTCGGGCAGGCTGTCTGAAGCTCTACAGAGGGGCTCCGGCACCGCGGGACGCGCGGCAGCCGAGGCCGCATCGAGAGAGGCCCCTGGCTCGCCCCAACAGGCAGAGGCAGGGCCAACCGAGTTCGCAAACTCGACCATCGATGCCAAGGTTCCCAGGTCGCCGGAGGAGTGGGCGGCCCTGCTGAAGCAGCAGGTACTCAGGCAGCTCGAGCAGGCTGAGAACGAGACCGATGACCCCCGAACACTGGCCGCGATTAGGAAAACCAAAGCTGATTTTCAGGCTGCATCATCTGGCGCAATGAAGGCAGCAGAAGACAACCAGGCGAGTAAGGCTCTTGAGGATGATATTGAGAGTGCTTCGCTTCCATACGTCGACGATCACGGTCTCGAGAAGACCATTAAGGAGAAAAGTGCAGAGGTGGAGTGGAATATGAACCAGACTTTGGAGAACCAGCTCGGTGAGACGGAGGAGGAAATGACGGCGAGATTGGCAAAGCAGATCCTCGCAGAGTTCAATCAGGCACAGAGCTCAACCACTCAGAAAGTGGAGACGGAGGAGGAGATGACTGCCAGATTGACGAAGCAGATACTTGAAGAGTTCAGTCAGGCCCAGAACACCTCGATTCCGTAGGTGGAGACGGAGCAGAAGATAACGGCCAGGCAGAGTAACGAGAGCTTGACTTCCTGAGTGGATAGGTTGGAGAGGATACAGACAGGTTGCCGAAGCAGCTAGTCGCTAAGTCTGATGCAAAGCAGTAGGAGACCGGGATAGTAATATTACCCTTGCAGCGTGCTTCTGGATGCTGTGTTTATCTCATGCGCCTACGGCGAATCACCGCCGCCCCATGGCTTCAGGATACGCCCATGCGGCCAAACGTTGGGCCGAAGTCTGGCCAAGCTATTGGACTACGTATTCCCTCAGCCGTCGTGGAACCCCTTTGGTGGAACACTGGGGAGAGGAAGAGAAAGGAGGAGAAGGAGGAGAAGGAGGAAGAGGAGGAAGGGGAGGAGGAGAGGGAGGAGAAGGAGAAGAAGGAGGAGCAGGAAGAAGAGGAGGTTTCTTGAGGCCCTCTTGAGGTCTCCTGGGCGCTTCCTGGACGCACTTTGGGGGGCTCTCAGGGGCCTCTTGGGGGCCCCCTGGTGCCTCTTGCGGTTCTCCGGGGGCCTCTTAGGGGACCTCTTAGGGGCCTCTGGGGGCCGCCATGGAACCTCTGGGCCTTTCGGAGGCCGTCAGGGGGCCCGCTTTCGGGCCATCTTGGATGTCTCTCCGGGGACGTCTTGGGGCCGTCTTAGGGGGCTTCTTGGGCTGCCTTGGGGCCCTCTTGCGGCCCTCCTGGGGGCCTTTTGGGCAGTCTTGGTGCGATCCTTGGGGGGCTACGCGCCCGTCTTGAAGCGTCAGGTGCCCGAAAAGGCGAGAACGCGAAAACAATCGAAACACACAACAAGGGGAATCAAACATGTTGGCCTCCTTGAGATCCTCTTGGAGCCCTCTTGGCCTTCAGAGGCCGTCGTGGGCCCTCCCTTGGCAGTCGTGGGTCATTTTTTGGGCGCTTGGCCGTCTTTGAGGTGTCTGGTCGTGTTGGCGCCTCTGGGCGCGTCTTGGGGGCCTCCTGGGGCCTCTTGATGACCTCTTAGAGGCCTCCTGGGGGCCTCCTGGGGGGCCTCTTGGGACGGAAGATTCGAACTGCCAATTCGTGCTCCCTTTCTTGGGCTCGGGGCTCTCTTGGGCCGTCTTGGGCGTTTCCTGAGCCGTCTCGGGGGCCCTACTGGGGGTCTCCGGCCTCTGGGGCCGTCTTGGGGCGGTATTGGGGGGCCTTTCGAGACGTTCTGGGTGCCGGAAGCTCCAGAAGTGGAGGGCCCACAGAACATCACAGAGCTTGCCACGAAAAGTTGGCCTCTCGGGGCCCTCTCAGGGATGCTCTTTTGAAGGCCTCTTGGCCTCTTGGAGCGTCTTGGGCGCTTCCTCGGCCGACCGGAGCCCATCTTTGGCGTCTGGGGCCGATCGTTCGGCGATTCGGGGCCGCCCCGGCCCGTCCTCGGGGGCTCTCGGGGCCCTCTGGGCCCGTCTTGGGGCCTGCGTGGGCCCGACACCGTCGCGCGACGAGCCCCCGGAGCCACGCGACAGGCCCCCTGGGCCTTCGGGAGTTTGGGTCCTGGGGGGTTGGGCCGGGGACCTGCGTACAGGGGGGGGCCACTGCCAAGAAGCACCCTGCTCGCCTCCATCGGGCCCACACTGTACACTCCAACTCGTGTCTCAAGGGCACGGTGGCGGATTTAGAGTCAAGGGCCCAGGATTGCATCCGTTGCAGGCGGGTGGAGCCAGCTCGCTCCCATGTCCAGCGCGGGGTAGATCGGCTCCTTCCCCTCATCTTTCACTCCCCAGCCCTCCTCCGTCAAACTGCTTACGACTGTTGCTCCCGCCAGGAACCCCGCCCTCCACCCTGAGGCTCCCTGTCCCCACGCAGCAGCAGCAGCAACAGCAGCAGCAGAAGCTGATGGGTTGCACGGTCTGCTTTCCCAAATTGGTGCCTCTTGGACAGCCTGGAGTGCGCGCTGTTTGGGCGCCTGCGCGACGTCGTTGCTGACCCCGCGAAAAAAATCCCGCGTGCGCGTCACACTCCTAATCCTCGCCCTTCTCATTCACCTCGTCCTCGTCGGGGTCCCTTTCAATGTGGTATCCCTCCCTCTTTCCCTCTCCCTCCCTGCTTCCCTCTCCCTCCCCCCTTCCTGCCTCCTTCCTCCCCCCCTCCCTCCTCATCAGATGCTCCTGCTCATCATCCCTCTCCCAGTCATCCTCCGACTCACCATTCTCATTCTGATCCTCCCTCAATCCAGCTTCTGCTGCGTCTCCTCATCTCGCTTCCATTCTCTTGGACATTCTCCTGCTTCGCTCTCGAACACGCTGTTGATCCCCACAATATGCCGCTTCCGTCGGGACAGCTGGTCGTAGATAGCAGGTTGGAGCAGGGCCTGGATGCTCCCAGATCGAGTGGGTCATCCACGTTGGCATACAGGCGGTCCGGATTAGTAGGTCGACCCTGCCAAATCAAGGGTACCTTTGTGTCCCGTGTCTCGCGGCCCATGCTTCCTGCATTCCTGTGGCAACGTGGCCCTCGGAAGGGTCTTGTGCCCTCTCGCGTGTCCTGTCCAATCGAGTCCGACTGTACCCTCCGAATGCCCCCCAGTTCATGTAGCCCTTCGTGACATACTTGTCAAAAGGTGGTTGCCCCCGGTCGGGACAGCTTCCGCTTCCGTCAGGACAGCTTCCGTCAGGACAGCTGGTCGTACATGTTAGGTTGAGGCAGGGCCTGGATGCTCCCAGATCGAGTGGGCCGTCCACGTTGGAACACCCTCCGAATGCCCCCCCCCCCCCCCCCCCCCCCCGCAGTGACGAGTTTCGACGATCCCCTGGCTGGCATCCCCCAGGCTGCCGCCCCCCCCCCCAGCCTCGACGGCGGACGGGCGGAGGCGCTTTGCCGGCCACCAGACCGTGGCACCGCTCGACCGCACAGCTCCGCAGAGCTGCCAGGCCTGCGCCCATCTCGGACGCGAGTACCCTTCGGAGGAGGAAGAGGTACCCAAGCCTCTACCCTTGCCTCGTTTCCCCATTCTTGGGCCGCCTGGGATGCCCTCGTCGCCACCGCTGGATTCGCCTCGAAATCCTGGTCAGAACGCACCCCGGGAGGGGTCCGGGGAGTGGCGGTATCGGTGCTTTTTGGGCCCCCCAATTCTTGGACATCGTGATCTCATGTGACACTCCTGCTCCGACTCCTCGTCCTCATCCTCTCCCTCCCTCCCCTCCCCCTCCGATGCCATGCGTGACACTTTGCAGAGCGTCGAATGTTGGCCCCCTGCCTCCGCGTCCCTATGCGCTGGTCTGTGCGGATGGCGCCACGGAACTCTCTTGAAATCTCGCCACATCGAACTCCCGCACATGAGCGGGGACCTCACGGCCGTGGACTGCGAACTCAGGGTGCGTCCGTGCGAGACTTGCCAGATCCAGGGCTCGAGCTCTCACATCATCTATTTGATCTTAGCCCTGAGGTGGATTGTGTGTGCGCTGCGCGTGCGGCTGCCGTGTGGCTCAGGGACCCGTACCCTCCTGCACGGTTGCGACTGCGTCTTCTGCGCCAGCGCCGGAAGAGCGGGACGAGGACGAGGGGCTGGAGCAGGATCGATGTTTCTTTCTTTCTTTCTCTCTCTCTCTCTCTCTCTCTCCTTCCCCCCATCCCGCTTCCCCATCCCGCGGGCGGGAAACATCTAGTCATACCCATTGCCTCTCGGTCCGGACTTCTTGGCAGCGACCCCATGCACGCAGGGCGTGCTTGTGCGGATATCCCGCGCGGATCGTACCCTTGGGATCGCGTATCCATGGGATCGCGCTTCGTCATCCAGACCGCAAGGGCATGGATATGGGTATGCTCGCCCCTCGTGATCAGTATCACACCTCTCCTCCTGCCCCCCCCCCTTGTTCCCTGGATATGGCACGGATCTCATCCAAATAGTCCCAGCACGAGCAAATTCGGTACGGATCCCAAGGGAAGTGAAAAAGACAGGATGGATTAATTGAATTCTTTAAGAGATGCTCTGGATATGTTGAGGAATCCTTCACTTTCACTGGAAATCCAGAGGGCTCCTCAGGAGATCCTCAAGAGATCCTGACTTCCATGGGAATTTCAAAAGGTATTCTATAGAACATGCTCTGGGTTCCTTCGGACCCCCTGGGGACTCGTGAGAAATCCTGTAGGGTTCCTGAAGACCTTGTTGGGATTATGATCGAAAACGCCTATGGCGGATCACCGCCGCCCCCAACAGTTTTGGAAACGCCCATGTCGCCAAGCGTTGGGCCAAAATCTTGCCGGGACATCGGACCATGTGGTCCCCCAGGCCGTTGTGGAAACCAGTGGGGGAAAGTTCGGGGGGAGGATTAGGGCAACGAGGAGGGGGGTAAGGCCTCGTGGGGCTTTGGAGGGGCATCCTGAGGGCTTCCTGGAATCATCTTGAGGCTCAGTGGGCCCCAGAAACGGCAGGGCCGTTTCTTGACCGTCTCAGTGTCGTCTGACAACGGAAACCGGAGAAAAAAAAGGCGGCCGGAAAAGGCAACAAAAACGGCTCCGGGATTGGAACCGCGAGTGGCACCGGGAAAAACATGGCGACGGAACCGGCCATTAAACGGCATCGGAACCAGCAAAGAAACGGCAAACTTGAACCTGTAAAACAACGATCTTGTCGCTTCCAGGGCCCACTAAGTCTTGGGGGCATCTGAGTGGCCTCTTGGGGGCCTGTTGGGGCTTGGGTCACTCTTGAGCGGTCTTATGGCTCTCTTGGCCCGTCGGACGGACGCCTTCGGAGGCTGTCTCGGGACCCTGTCTGGTCTGCCTTGGGGCCCTCTTGGGGCTCTGTGCAGTAGGGCCGTCTTAACTGGAGGTCTCTTGGGCCGTCTTGGGACCCTCTTGGGGCCAGCTGGGGGCCTCTTGACCAGTCTTGGGGATATCTTTGAGGTTTGTTGGGCCATCGTGGGGCTACATTGGGGCCTCTTGAGTCATCTTGGATCATCTTGGGGCTGGGTTGGGCCCCTTCGGCTGCCGGAAACTCGAAAAGGCGAGATCGCGGAAATATTTGAACAACCAAAAGATCAATGAATGTGGCATATTCGGGTCATCCTGAGGGGCCTCCTGGAGGCCACCTTGACCGTCTTGAGGCCAGCGTGGGCTCATCCTGGACTTCTGAGGGCATCATGGAACATCTCGGGGGTATCTTAAGCCGTTGTGGAGGCATCTTGGGTCATCTTGGCCATCTTGGAGGCCGTCCCGGTGCCCTCTTGGGGGCTCATTGGGCTATCTTGGAAGCCTCTGGGGCCGTCTTCGGCAGTCGGAAGCCCGAGGAGGCGAGAACGCGAAGATGATGAAAAGCCCAAGAGGGAATCAATGATGTTGGCATCTTCGGGCCCTCCTGGAGGGGCCGCGGGCGGAGCTCCCTATGCCCGATGGGGCAACGAAACGTGTGAGGGGTTTGCCGAGGTGCGGCGGCGCCGCCACACAAACGCCATCGCTGGGCCGTAGGTGGAGCTTCCTATGCGGCCTCGGAGCGTGGCGGGGGGGGGGGCCAGAATGAGGCAGTGGCGCCATGCAGTGTCCCTCACTAGGGCTGTGGGTGATATTAATGAGGATGATGATGACGAGGATGATGAGCAGGTTGCTGACGGAACGGACGAGGGTGAGGAGGAGAGGGAGGAGGAGGAGAGTGATCATGAGGAGGAGGAGGAGGAGGGGAGGAGGAGGAGGAGGAGGAAAGAAGGAGGTGGGAATGAGGGGTGATGCGTGGCGCTGCGGATGTTAACCGAGGTCCCAACAACCAAGGAGGGTTGGGAGTCATCATGCTGCAGTTTAGTCCGCACGGGCTGGCTGGCAAGCACCCAAGCCGACTAAGTTCCAGATTCAAATGGCATCCCCGACCCCTCGCAATGGTCAGCGTGTTGTATGGACGTTATTGTTTGCTCGCTTTGTCTCAAATTCTTTGCCCCAGGCCGACGAGCCGACCACCCAATAACGTACATCATGATGTCTGTAGACACGCCCGACCAAAACTAGCTGGCCGCTGTGCGCGCGAGCTTGTACGGGCTAGCGCTGCCGCAGCGATGCACCAGCCAGCACCAAGCAGTCATCGCAACCGCCGTCGCATGGGTGCTGCGAACCAAATTGCGGGTGGGTGGGTGGGTGGGATGATTGCGCGAGCAGTGGTATTGACTATTCAACATGTTTTCAAGTTCTATTTCCATTTTCAAAAAAGAAAGAATAGGTTCTAACACCCTCCGCCCCCAGGGTTGAAGATCCCCCGGGAACCGATGCAAAACACATAGGATTCTGACCCAATGTCCACTCTACCTGCGAATTCATGGTATCCCAGCCAGGCTGGTATCGACCCCCCCGCCATCCTCTGCCAAAAAATACTACGCGCGCATTCGTTCATCAAAAATCACAGGTTTTCAAAAACCCCGAAGTGCACACGCGCGCGTCGTCGCGCGCGCATGCCAAAATCCTTCAAAAACCTTCGGTTCCGGGAGAATTGTGAAATCGAGTTTCAAAAACAAACATTCAAAAACACATGGGTTCACAACACGGAGTTTCTAAAAAAAAATCGCGCTTCCGCGAAATTCTAAGAAACCAGAGGTGATTCAAGATTCTAGAATTGAGAAAATCTTACCAAACGAGTTTCGCGCTCGCATGTCGAAATCTTTCGAACGCCCTTGCGCGCGTGCCGTCGCGAGAATCCTTTTTGCAAAAAATTGGACGTAGTTCACGCGCGCGCGTCGTCGCGCGCGCATGCCGAAATCCTTCAAAAATCTTCGGTTTCGGAAGGATGCCAAAATCAAGTTTCCAAAAAACATACAGAAACACATGGTTTCGCAACACGGATTTGCAATAAAAGCGTGCGCGCGCACTCTTGCGTTGTCGTCGTCGTCGCCGTCCTCCCTCCTCCTTCGTCGTCGTCGTCGTCGCCGTCGTCGTCCTCTGTCTTTCCTCGTCGTCGTCGTCCTCGGGGAGCAAGATATTGCGCAGCGTCAGAGGAACACAATGCTTGCCTTTGATGAGGATGGAAGCCCGACTTCAGCGGCAAACGGGCATAAGTTTAAACGTAAATTCTTGGCGAAGGTGGAAGAGCATTGGCGTGCGCAGAAGGATGCCGGCGTCCCCGAACCGGTGGTCTTTGGACTGCTGCATACCCCAGATGACCTGACATTCGGCAACCTCATGAAGTCCTCCGTTGGGGGGAAGATATAGATGTCAGATGACCACGAAGAAAATATGATCGAGCAGCGTGCAAAGTCAACGGACGAGGGGGGATTCGACATCAATGAGGTCGCGATGAGGGACCGCTTGAATGCAGACAAGGACAGGCTCAAGGACGTTGCCGGAGTCACTTGGACTACCGTCCAGCGGAAACTGTTCAGCAAGGTGCCTGACGCCGACTTCTTTCGTTTGCCTTCAGTTTCTGGCTCCACCATTTATGTCCGCCTCACTAGTTGTATCCCCGAGGGCCCGAGCTACCGCGCCCACGCTGTGATCATGAGCAACCGGTTGAGCGCCTTGATCCCGAAGTCCGCGGTGGTGCCTGCGAACGGCTCTTTGTTCGTCCAGCTCTCGGAATTCAAACCCGGGAGTGAGGACGTCAAGTCGATAGTAGCCGGTATCGACAAAGGTGCCGCTGTTGATCTCGGCGTCATCATTTGCGCCGGAGCAATCGCGGGTGCTGAGAAAGCAAGGATGTCCGTCCAAACAGACTTCTTCAAACGCCCAGGCACCCTGTTTCGCATGGATCGCGCGGTCTCGAAGAAGAAAGGCATCATTGCGCACAACCAGGAGGTCACTTGTGTCATCCTTCCGGCGCAAGCTTTCGGTCCAGAATTCCAACGCCTCGGTCTAGCTCAGGCGCGTGGCATCTCAATCCTCGCGACCAGCACTCCAGTTGAGCAGGCTGTCGACAAGGTCTTGAAGGCGCCACCCCCTCAGGTGTCTCAGCAGCTGGTGGAGGCGGAGGAAAAGGTGCGGAAAGACGCGCCGGTCGGTGAGGCCAAGGAGGTCATTGACAACAACGTGAGGGCCGCCAAGGAAGAGGTGGCGCACGAGGCCGTCGATGACATGATTGCGAAGTCTGACGGTGCTGCTGTAGGAAATATGCGCCCCGCAGCGGGGGCACAATTCGTGCGGGCCACTCCGCCCGTCGTGACAATTGCCCCGAATGAAGTTGCCATTCAATTAGGAGGTCTATTCTGGGGACGCGAGCCCATCGGTACTGAGTTCTTCGTCCACTCGCCCGGGTTTCCGGACACTTGGGGACAGGCTTCTGTGCGTGCGCGCGGCAGCAGCCTGAAGTTCATTCCGCGGGAGGAGGTGATCCTGACTTGGCCTGGCTTCCTGGCGTCGTCGTCGTCGTCCTCTTTGGCGTCGTCGTCGTTTCCGTCGTCGTTGTCGCCGTGGTCGTCGTTCCTCCTCCCTCGTCGTCGTCGTCCGTCGTCGGCGTCTCGTCGTCGTCCCTCCTATTTCGTCGCCGTCGTCGTCGTCGTCGTCGTCGTCCGTCGTCGTCCGTCGTCCGTCGTCGGTCGTCGTCCGTCGTCCGTCGTCCTCCTGCCTCGTCGTCGTCGTCGTCCGTCGTCGGCGTCTCGTCGTCGTCC